GTAAGTGAGTGAATGAGTGAGTGGTAGCCTAACAAACGGATCGACTGACACCCGGGACTGACAACTGACCGACCGGAATGCCTATGGACGGCAGCAGCAGAGGCCTTGATCGACGAAGAGCCCTTTAGCTACCATGTCAAACAGCGCTCTTTAATCTGAAGTGGATATACTGAAAACACCCGCCACTCGCTGGTCCACCTTCCAATTTCCGCCCGGAGCACCGTGTTAGTTCATTTTTTTTTCGTGGCCCAAGTCAGAATAATTGATTTAAACAAGCCCTGGCTCTGATCGGGCTAAGCGTAAACCAGTAATTTGCCTGCAGTCATTTTCAATAAACTTCGCATAGCTCACGGTGACTATGGATTCGCCGATTTGAAAAACTGTAGCTGAGTAGTAAGTGATTCACGTTTCGCTTTCGCTTGGCTTAGGCAGCACGCGGCGATCAATCATTGGGGCCATAGAATCGGAGACACCACACCGCACCACACAGGAGGCATACGGAGGCTTTGGAGGGCAGCTGCCGGATTTATCTCCCATTGACTATATGTGGCTATCTTTCACTCACATTTTGGGGTCCATATCGGGCGCTGTAACACACACGTCATTTGCGGGTGGGAGGAGAGTGTATCGAGACGGAGCTCTCATTTTGATGGATTTCGTTTGGACCATCATGATCGGACCGTCGGATGGCCGGCGGTATCCCGGTGATGTATCCAAATTGGCTATATTGAAGCCGTTACGCAAGACGGTTTCTGTTTTCGGCGAATTTTCGCCTTCTGACCGAGTTTGAAACTATGGACATCAATCTTCTTTCACCGGCATCATCGGTTGAGCAAGCGATAGGGCGATCGAGCTGAGATTTATTGGATTCTGCAACTCCAACCGGCAGCTAAACAGCGCGCGCAACTTTAAACGAAGCGGTTGCTCTCGAGATCGTGTGCCAGACAAAAAAACAAGCTCTCCACTGCGGCGGTCTTATCGGGGCTCTTAAATCAAATGCCACGAAAGTGTGGTTATGTGTACTCGAAAAGTAAGATAAATATGGAAATAATGGCTAGGTTAGTGGAGGCTGCGATAAGAACACCTTTGGAGTAGCCCGCGACTAACAGGTTGCTCTAGGTCTACGATGTTGGCGCTGTTCCATTTTCTGTATTCTCTGTGTCTCACGTTTTTCCTTATTTTCGGACAGCAACTTGCCAGAAGTGAATGCGGAAAAGAGTCTAATGAATTATCGTACGCGGAATTCGATCAACAGGTATAAGGTGTTGACTAAGGAGTACTGCTGCTATTTCAATGATAAATGAACTAAATGAACAGAGTATTTTGAAAGAACAATTTGCCTCACAACCCAGACATCCATGCTTGGCATACACAGTTTTGATCACAAACTGCTCATTTGCTAATAACTTTGCACACATTTGACGAAACATAGTTGTTTTTGAAGCAGTAGATATAATAGAGTTTAAGCTTGTTATAGATACGTAAAAAAGTTGATTTTAATTCTAGTAATAAACTGTATTTGTTTTTGTGTTGTACAAATGAAGTTAGAAATGATCGCTGTACATCTCAGACTTTAAGTGTAAAAATTCATTGGTGTTGTAACAAATGTTATGATTTACCTACTCTTTGCATATCTATAGTAAACTATGACCTTAATCAATTACTCTAAAGAAATACAAATTTCAACAACTGAGTGAAAAGCTATTGACAAATGAGCAGTTGGTGTGTACAACTGTACATGCCAAGCATGCAGACATCCACTCGAAGGATTGTAAAATACCAGTCATTCGAATTATCGGCGTACATTTTGAATCTATCTTGCAATTTATCGTTTTTCCCCAAACAAAACCGAAATGCAATTTCATTTTCGTTCATGATTTTTGTTTTTTGGCAATTTTTGCCGCTGCATAAATTGACGCTTCCCCAGGCGGTGGTGTATTTATGTATGGCACGCCAACGAGCGAGGGCAGTCCGTACAAAACAGGTGAAAGTTACCGAGTAGCCAATTGTGTTTCCTTTTCGTGAAGAAAGTTTCTACTTGAGCCGGTCAGAGCCGACCGAAAAAGGAGATCTGCATCTCTGGGCATTTTTCCATCTTTTTTTTCGAAATTCATTATCAATGTTTCCATTCAGGTAAGTTGGCAGGCAGGCAGGTATACGCATAGGATCTTCTTTCCTCGCGCAGTATTGAATGTGAACTAAATGATTGACAGATCGAATGAATGGATTCGACAGTGATTGCACTTCCAGCTCTTCCAGCAATGGATGTGTGTACGCTTTGTGCTGGAAAGTGCTACGTGCCGCGCGGTCGTCAGTTCCGAGAGGCGATGAAAAGGTTGGACTTCCTCAGCAGCCACGAGGGAAGCGCGGAGTCATGTCAAGTCCATATGGGCTGCCATGCATAAATGAGTGTGATATAATTGCTATTGAAAGGGGGAACTACTGACGGGCTACTACTACTGGACGGGAGTGATTCGTGCTGATCAGTTCCTTTTTTTATCGACAGAGTATAATAGGGCTTACAGGAAGCGGTGGATGTTTTGATTGAGATATTTTGTTCGGAAGTTGAGATGATTTTTGGGGCATGCACAAAGATGTGGAAAGTTGATTGTTTATCGAACTGATTGTTTTGACTTTGACAAGAAAATTAATGTGTGCAGTTAATTTAATTTTAAGTGCAAAAACTAATTATGACTGAAGCCATTTAATGCTTCAAACTTTGTCACAGCAAGTTCAAAGCTTAATTATATGTAATCGGATATTAGCCTTCCGTGCTATAACCCCCCTCGTGTATGCTTTACTAACTACAGTTCCTCCATTGACTATGATCCCTCCATGAAACAGGCTATTCAAGGAGTTCCAGATCAACTTCGACCTATCTCAATTCCCCGTATTTTTGCTGAAAAGTACCAACAAGTCAATTGCACACACACCGACACATGCAAGCGGCCCTTTTGACATAAGAATCAGTTGAAAAGGACGAGAAAATCAATTCAATCAAACGCATTTGTCGTCGAGTTGCATATGTTTCAGTTTCAGGACACTTAATTTTACATGCCATGTTTCTTTGCGTTCCATGATTTACGTCAAAGCTGAATTACGTCTCATGTAAAAATAATAATTTCTAAGTGTGTAAGCTAAGAAAAAAGGGATACTTTCCTGTTCATGGGAAATTCTCCTCGTTCGATCGAGCGTTTGAAAATGAAGGCTAACGGCTTAGCTACTGCGCTTGCAAAGTGACGGAAAATAACACTGAGGATTACAATCGAGCCAAGAGCAAATGAACTCTTCAGCTTTTTGGAAGCACCGATAATCATTGCAGGCGAAATTTGAACGTGCTCAGTTCTACTGCGTCCAACGTAACATTTGGCGCAGCTAGTTCAGCCTCGACGTCGGAAGATGACTCTGATTGGAAAATTGATGCGAATTGCATTGCGATCAAATCACACTTGGACTCCTTGCCGTCATAGAACACTTTGGGCGGAAGTGATGGGTTTTTTCTCTTGCTAATTACAAAGCCCCAGCTGGATTTCAGATCCCGCCGTAAACGAAGCTGCACCCTTGAAACGAGTGATTTGTAGAGTGTAACATTCAACTTTCTGTAGTCGACATTTGCTCATTAGAAGTTAGCTTTAGCATATGTTGATTTATGAGCCGCAAACGACGCTATGTATTCTCTTCATAGGCACGATGAAGTTTAACCATTGACGGATGAGGTTGCAGGAATTTTAGGTCATGTCATGGACATCCACACTGCCGTAGACACAATTCCAGTCCAGACCAGACAGGTGAACAACAAGTCCGTCAAAATAGAATTTGCGGTGACTGAGTGCACTTTCGAATTCCTTCGCCACCGGGACATAACTAATTCAACATATGGACAACTATTGTGGACCTGCATCTTAAGTATTCTTAATTCCCTTGGTCAAAAGTCGTACATTCTGGTGTAATATTTTTTTAATTAATACGTTGTGAATCTTCTTAATTGTGTAGTATCTGATATTTACATTTAATTTGCATCTCGTTACCGCAGTTTACGAGCGATGCTTCAATTCCATTCCGGGCGCCTAAGTGCACAAAAGATCTTACCAGTAGCGTTATCGTGATGCTGTAACCAACATGCTGCTACTGCAGCTGACATTGCTTCGTAGTGAACCTAAAAGAACCAGCAATGAGGTCACACAATTCATGGTCTCATCGAAAGGGAAATCTCCATCGGTGGTATGGGAGATGCCGCAAAAGGAGTAGCAAGAAGTGGAAAGATCTGATCTCCGAGAAGGTAGAAAACCGGTTGAAATGTAGATCCCATCGATGTGCTCTGACTGACCGAGTAGGACGGACGATGCAGACCACAACGACGACTGAATGTCTAGGCCGGTAAGTAAGCATACGAGATAAATGATCGACCCAGTGATAAATTAGTCGAGATGCCCCTGGAAGAGTACGGTCGGTCGGTCGTTTGGATGCTCGGTAGTAAAAGCCAACCGAATCGCGCGCTGATGGAAATGATCAAGAGACTTGAATGAATGGTAAAAACACGAACTCTAGGTTAGAAGCTTGAGAGGAAGGGAGTAGAGTTTGTCGATTTGAAAAATCGATTGAAGCTGTCTCTAATATCTTTTACAATCCAAATTAGGCTTTCGAGGCGGGTTATAAATGATCGGTTCGGGTTGCGATTTGCGTCGATGAACCGCGAAGTGGACCCCTAACTGACCATTTCCCGCTTGGCAAGCAGGTAATTGGTATATAATGCTGTGGCATTGTTTAACTGATTGCCTCGTTGAAGCGGTATTCAATATCAACAACACGGCACAAAACGATTCGTTTGGAGAGGTGTATCATTTTAATGCGTAATTATTGTCTATTCCGATGAGTGATCCTTTATTAAGCTGTCATCAGGGCTTGAGTGGGTTGTTCTGTGGTGTTTAGGTAAATAACTTGAATTATATCCGAAGGAAAATATTCGATCAACAATGACGGATGTTAACAAATTTACTCACCTGTATGGATTCGTTGATGGGCTTTTAGATGCGAGCTTTTGGTGTAGACTTTTGTGCAACCTGCGAAAAAAAAAAGAGACAGAGAAATTTAAGAAAGTGCAATTAACGAGAGGTGCTAAAAAATAACTGAACAGAACTCAACGAATAAAGAAAAAAAAAATGATTTTTTTTTCGTCTGTGATGACAAATGAGATACCCTTCCCGCGTGTTTGGGTTGATATCTTAAACTACCGCAAATTAGCCGACGCTAATTAAAAGTTAAATTTTTAATTGCAACCCATCGTAAACCTGGTGAGGCTTGATATTTTGTTGCTGAGGTTCGCTTCTCGATTTGGCACTGGTTTTGCGTGTCAAAGGAGCAATTCATAGTTGGTAGAAAGGAGAAGAAACGCACTCGTACAATTACGGTAGGCTATGCGATGAGTGATGCAGAGGGTGATAAAAAGGCGGGCCAGTAAATGTCAAAGTCATTTAAGGATTTTTATTGACGAACTGCAACCGTAAGGCACGAACAGCAGTGGCAGTACAGTCTATGGGGCGGTGCGTTGTAATATGATAGGGTTGTTCCAAAAATGGTGTGCATTGTTTAATGATATGTGCGGAAACGAAGTATTGCTTGCATCGACCTGGTGAGATAACCTTTGATAGATAATATACACTTTAAGAAGTGTTGGTATTAACAAAAAAAAAAAATACACGGTTGTTAATAATACACTGAATTGCAATAAATCGCAAAGATGTGTTTCAATCACTGCTGGGAATTGTCATTGTCATTGAACACGAGATATTAACATAATTATTTTTGACTTTTAAAAACTGTTATTTCTTACAATCTCTTTCACATTATTGTTATTTAGGCAGTAATGAACATAGATGCTAGTTCATTTTGACGGCTCCATTAATTAATTTTGCATAATTTACTTATATTCGGTACAAATGTAATGGGTCACGAAAGTTGTTTCTTTTTTCAAGATCGCCGTGTATGGTCAATATTTTGCAGTACTGGTACTTTAAAGAATTCTGATCAAAGCATAAAAAAGAAAGTCGGAAACACATTCCTGTAGTAAAAGAGCTGAAAGGGATCACAAATGCTTTTGAGTTCATAAAGTTATTCTGTTTTTTATTAGTATTTTGATAGCAATGAAACCTAGCAATGAGGTTATATAAATTCAAGAATCTGAAATAGGAAATCTATAGAAAAATTCATCAAAATATACAATGGCCGATTTTTTATAAAAGGTGCAATTGAATTAACCTCCCCCTGTTGACCAATTAGATATTTATGAGAAAGAGATCTAATGTTGACTTATGGCTCAGGAGATTATGAGATATCTATCATATTGGTGCACAAAAAGTTTATTAAAGCTTAATGCGAAGAAATGTAATTCCATTTCCAGATTAAACATTAAGCTTTGTTGAATATTATAATAACATTATCTACAAGGCAAGCAACATGCTAGGGTTTAATAAAAGGTTAAGTTTTCATTTCAATAATCCATACGCAATCAAAACATTATACGTTGCATATGTTAGGCCCCTCCTGGAGTACTGTAGTATAGTCTGGGCTCCATATCAAGATGCTAGTATAAACCGCATTGAATCAGTTCAAAATCAGTTTCTATTATTTGCCTCTAAAAAAGCTAGGCTGGACGAGTTTACCCTTACCATCTTATGAGTCTCGATGTATTGTGATCAATTTGGATGCACTTAAAAAGCGAAGGCAGTTTGCAATGATAGCTTTTATAAACGTTGTTGTAGCAAAAAGAGTGGATGCCACAGAGATTTTAGAAAAACTAAATTTTTATGCTCCCACTTGTTCCTTAAGCCATTCTATTATTTGCGCCTTTAAATAGAATGATGTCTTGTTATAATGACACGGTGGCCAGTGACTTTTCATTTTGAAGTTCCCTGTTTTTTCCCGGTTTTCCTGGTTCAAATCTTAAAAATTTCCCGGTTGTTGATATTCATCAAAAAACGAAATTGTACGCATTTATTAAAACGTGGCCAACTGTAAATTTTCAGAGGTTATTTGTGGGAAAAATGAAAGCCAAATTACAGAAAGTGTTATCTAAAGCTATAGGAAAAATTCAACTCTATGAGTCACTTAATGTATTCAAAACAATTGATCTTTCGAGATACTTAGATAAATCGAATTCTACCACTTTTTAAGATCGATACATCTTATGATTTCAAAGCCCTAGAATTTTTTGAGTGACAGAGATTAAGGTCACTGGGCCAAATTCTATCTGGATGAATAAGTTATATAATAGGTAAATTGTGAAGAACAAGAGCTTTAATTTAAAAAAATGTATCAGAAAAATGAACTTGGTACAAATGAATTCTCATTTGTACCAACACAGTTCGAAAAAGTAGAGTTAATTTCTGTTCAATATGATGCACATAAATGGAGCGTCACATATCATATAAGTTTACATTATATATCATGTAAAGTTCTGACAAATTTCATGCAATGTAGCAAATATTGTATACAAAAGCCCATCTTTGTAAACAATATTGTTTACAAGTTGCTCGGTTGCGTGAAATGAAATTTAAGTTTACGTGAATGAATGTTTACATCACAATTAAAATTCAGAATTTTTATCAGTGAAGTTCATTTTTCTGAAATATTTTTTAAATTAAATCTCTTATTCTTTTGATTTAAATTGAATAAAGAAGATGTGTATTCACTGAAAGATTATTTACCAAAAAGATAGATTCCCAAGATTCTGGGGCTTTGAAATTTGTGTAGGGTCTGAAAATAGAGCTTTTCTTCAAAATTTGGGATTAATAACAATCTTCGTGCTGCATGATTTGGAGAAAAAAATAATGTGGGAGTTTAAAAATTTTCCTAGGTCACAGATTTTTAATTTTTTTTTCATATATATTAAATAGTCTTGCAGTCATTATTGTCAACGCTCTGAGACTTGGAAGTACTTAAAACAAATTACAGAACAATCGATAGAATCTTGCGGACAAACCCTGGAATTTTCAGTAAAATTAAAAAGTATTTAAAGTGTTGATTTCAAAAAACTATTGAGGAGGATCCCACATAGTTTTCGAAGGAGAAGTTCAGAGCAGAATTCCCGAATTATTCTGACATGAAGTCCTTAGAAATTGTTAGAAGAATTTTGAGGGATTTCTGTGGAAAAGATTGCAAGATTGCAATAAATTAAATTATTAGATAATTTTTGAAGAATCCCAAGAGAATTATGATGAGAATTCAACAAGAAACTGAGTTCTAAGAGTGTTCTGGCGATAATTTCAACCCCAGTATGAATGATTCATCAAAGAGCTCCAACAAAATTTATTGCAAAAAAAAAAATGCTAATAATTAGAAAGAAATTCTTTATAATACTCCAAGGGGCTTCTAAATAATTCCAAATATTGAAAGATTTATACCCTAGCAAAAAGAAAATTTTGAAAAGGATTTCAATAAAATTAAAGTCTCCGAATAGGTTTAAGGGAAACAATTTCTTAGAAGGAGTTTCAAGGAAATTCCAAAAAGAATTCAATGGTAATTATTACGCAGGGTGTTTTCTGGTTAATTTTAAAAGAATTCTATAAAAATCCAGAGCAGAATTCCAAGTTCATTCTGAAATACATATCATGAGAATTTTTAATAAAATTAAAACCCGGGAAAGTAATAGTTCAGTTTCAGTTTTTACAAATATTTGTTTCTTAAGTCCAGCATCTTCAATATTTTGTTTTAAGGCCCATGCACTTTACATCTGAAATTGAATCGCAAAAATCAATTTGAAATATTGCTTAGTGATTAAATTCTAAAAACAATAAGACGGGAATCTGAAGAAAATTATGCAGCATAAGAGAATGACATTCATTTGGTAAAAAATCACTCTGTTTTAATGGTTTATTCTGAAATTCTGGTGTGAAAATTTATTTTTCCCGGTTCTCTCATCAAATTCCCGGGTTTTTCCCGGTTTTTCCGGTTACTTTTCAAGTTCCCGGATATTTCATGAAACAATTGATTATATTTTTTATTTTTGGCTAAGTTATATACTTTGGTCTGACCTGGGTTTTCACTCTGCGTGAACAAATTTGCCGATGGTGGAAATTTTCCATACGGTCAGGGTCATTACGATACAGACAAAATTAAAATAAACTACCCACCAGGTTAACAAAAGTGAACAACTTTGCCGTAAGTGTGAGTTTTACTTATGGTCAGGATGATTAGAGACAAACCAATATTTTGCTCACACCACACTAGCACCTGTAATTTTTCAACTAAACTACCCATCATCGGATGGGTCTAATTTCTATGTGGTAGTTATCATTAGAAATAAAGCAGAACAATATGTTGCTCACTAACTCCACCTAGTCATACATTTTCGATCAAAGCTCCATCTGAATTATTTTTCTAAACTGAACAAGTTTGCTGAAGACGAAAGTTTTTCATACAGGATCAGCAGAAATTAGTCAAAACAGTATTTTACTTGCTAGCGCCTACTTGTAAGCTTGTTTTGAATGGCAATACCCACCTTTAAAAAGGCTTCATTCAAATGAACAACTTTGAAAAACTGGAACTTTCTTAAATAGACTGGATCAATAGAAATGAGGCATAAGAATATAAGGCTGGCGAGCGCCTCCTTGTGAGTATTTTTTAACAAAATTTTCCACTATCTGAAAGGCCTCATTACAATGAGCAACCCTGCCGAAGACGGGAACTATGTACATGGACAGGGTCATTCAAATTGAGGCAGAACAATAGTTTGATCAGTAGTGACATCTAGTGGTACAATTTTGAAGTAAGCTTTCTGCTATCTGAAAGGTCTCATGCTCTTAAACAACTTTACCGAAGATATGATAGCTCTTCATAGTCATGATTGCAAGATATTATGTATTTATTTTCTCACTAGCTGCATCATGTGAAACAATTGTGAACCAAAATGGCATCTATTAAAAAATTTCACAAAAATAAACATCTTTTCCAAAAACAGAATCATTCTATTTCATCAGGATCATAATAATCAGTTTCAGCGGGAATCGAAAAAACGATTTTTTCTCTATGCAGTAGCATCACTTAGCGAGTGAGTTCCTAAGCA